CCACCTTCAACAAACAGCAAGTCACAGCCAGTCTCCTTCGCTGTGTCCTCAACTACCTGCCCCTTCCCATATTACTTGAAGCCGTATCTCCTTTTTCCTTCTCCTCCTCCTCCCCTCCCCACTGTCCCCCCTCTCTGTTTTTACCTTTTAAAGTATGTATAAGTATTCTTAACATTCTTTTCAAATACAATCATAAGTGCAAAGAAATGTAGATTGGTAGTTTAAAGTACCATGGTAGTGTTGTGTGAATGAGTTACACTCCCACAGGAACTAGCAGGTAACCAAGATGCGGTATTTCCCAAGATTTTCGAAACAGTCGTCGCATTCCAGAGCTGTAACTAGTTCTGGAGGCTTAGTTACACAATTGCCATTCTCTGTCATCTTCTGCAGAAATGTGACCTTACAGAAAAGAAATCTGAAGCATGACAGATCATTTTTAAGCTTTGTAAATTTTTATTTCTATCATGTAATAGCCCTCAAGCTTTTCGCCTCTAGCTAGGCAACACAGAGTGTGCAGCTGAGACTTTTGGAATGCTGTGAAGTTGTAATAAGCAGCTTTACGGTGATAGTTTAGGGTTGTGACGTGTAACTCAGGAGCCAGAATCCACTGAGGAGGAAAGAATTTCTGAAACACAGTAAACGTGATTAATTTTTCTTGCTTCTCTTGGTTTTCATAAGTTCATGATTTGGGCCTTTATATAATACAAATACAATAATTTTAAACCCTAAGGATGTGTAATTCTGTCAGATATTTTACTTATGTAGAAGTTTTCTTCGATAGAGTCAGATGTGGAATTTTTATTTTTAACAAGGTATTGCTGAGTTTTGCCCGCTGCAACCATTACATGGTCGGGAACTTTGCATGTTTTAATTGTTTAAAGGTTTTTATGCATTCCTGACAACAGTTTTTCCCAAATAAAATGAGTATAAATGCACTTTTATTTTTAAATATTTCAAGCCATATTTGTACTAGCACAAGCAGATTGCCCCAACCCCAGGTGGGGAGGCAGTGGACCGGGAGTGACAGAGAGATGGAGGGGGCGGAACTCGCGTGGTCGGGGGTCATGACTCCGGAACGTGGAATGCACACCTTGGACCATTCCACAGGTCTGCCCTGCTGCAAGCCTAGAAATTGCCCTCCTTTCCTCACTCAATCCCTACATTTAACAAATACATCTTTATTGTGTATTTATTCAGAAAAATTTCTGGGTTTCAGCTTTTCCATTCACATGGTCAGGACATCAGTGCCAGTCCTTATCACTGTACCCCAGACCCTGATCGCAGCAGAGAAGGAACGGACCTGCTGCATTCCAGCCGTGGCACTGGGACCGCGGCATCCCAACCACGGCAGTCTCTGTGCATTTAACCCCCACGAGAACCCTGCGAGGCAGGCGGTCGTCTGCACTTTCCAGGTTGTGGAAACTGGTTAAGCTCTTTCAAGTGTGTGACGTTGCTAAGGAAATCTTGCTCTGAGGCTGTCTTCCCCTGTAATGCATTTTATACAAGAATACCAAAATAATCTCCCTAAAATGTAACTTTAATATAATAACTTGCTTAATAAAACCTGTAATTATTGATCTAGCACTTTATAAATCACCAGGGATTTTTCATGTTTGACCTCTCATTCTGCACAAATTACTCCTTGAGGTTAATGCGATTTTATATCATGACCTCATACAGTAACCTAGGATGACCTCTATTTCCCGTCAAACTGATCATAAGCTCTTAATATTGGTGATGCTCGTATTTTACACTATGTCTCTGCTTTGTCTGTTCAGTCATATCTCCCAGTGTCAGCTGGCATTAGCCTTAGTCAGGTGAACTTCCTTATGGTCCTCCTCGGCCACATGCTCATTTCCTTTCTAGTGTCTACTCAGAACAAAACTCTCAGCCGCCCATCCCCACCCTGCCCTCTCATTTAAACTCCCCCAGTCCTACAGTGCGGGTTTCAGGTCCTCCCTTTTCCAAGAAGCCTTCCCCGGTAATTCGTCTTCCTGTCTATTCTGCCTTCTTGATTTCCTTCATCAGATACGTTTACCTTGAATAAAATTTGAAGTTTCCTCCTAACTGTACAAGTAACATTGCTTCATGTAAAAATATTATAGAGGATATTTGAAAGTGAAAAGAAAACGTCCAGCGTGCCAGTCCCGGTCCGTGGAAGGACCCACTGTTGCGTGTCTTTCGAGTTCTGTTTCTGTGCATAAACGAGAATGTTCACGGGCACGTGTATGTAGACACACCTGTTTACAGACACGGGAGGTAAATGTAGGTGTACATTTTATACACAGACACCATCAACTTCGTTAACTCGACAGTGTATCTTGGAAATTTTTTCAGTGACTATAAGGAATTTCATTTAAACATCCCTATTCCTCAAATTGTTTCATGTCAAATTATTTTATGCATATACATCTTATCTTCCTTCACAAACAGAAGATGGAAATTCTCCAAGGGCAGTACTTACATATTCAGGCTCTTTTTCGCCCATTTATCCTTTACACGTTCCGCATTTGCTGCATATTTCACATATTTCATATTTGTGCTGCAGGAAAGCGAGATGCTTGACTCTCACAACCCCGAAGGAGTTAGGATCTAGTGGATAAGAACCTGCATTTATACACATAACCGCAGCACAAGGGAGGGATTGAGAAGTGGCACAGATTTCTGTTTCTGTCCATGTGGCTGATTAGGTCCTTTGAACAATCCTTTTGCTGAAAATAAATGACACGGTTGAATACGTATAAGAAGACGGCCTCATTACAACAAAGGGCTGGAAGGGTAAGGAATTAAAGGCCAAAGTCTGAGGAAAAGCGAGAGTACAGGGAGGCTCAGAGAGAGGAAGCTCGTCTTGTCCTGAGGGTGTTTCAGGCCAGTTTGAACTTTGTCTGTCTCATAGGTGGTAAAACTCGACGGAAAGTCAAGGGATGATTAACTTAAAATTCAGAATAAAGGTTTTGGAGAGGATGAGTGCATTCAAAGAGTTTCTGGGGTACTCAGAATCTCCTGTTTGTTGACCTAGTGGTAGCTCTCCAGGTTAATTTATTTTCTGAACTGAGTGTATTTAGTTTGCGCACTCTTCTGCACACATGTTGTAATTTACAACAAGGAGTTGAAACTGAAAGGACAAGTTACCAGACTATATGTGCATATGTGTGTGTACACACACTGTCATCCCACACATGTGTCTGTTATACGTGGGCCTCTGTATGTGTGTAATATACAATGGGGTGTGTAATATGTAAGTTTTACATGTTGATGTAATATATAAATTTATGTATAAGTGTGTGTATGTTAGGGAATGCAGAACTGTGTGTGTGTTTGTGTGTGTGTGTCTCATATATATAGGGAAACAGGTCTGGAAGAGTATTCACAAATCACTGAGGGCAACCTTGAGAGGTAGAAAAGGAATGGGGAAGTAGCAAGGAGGGAGCTTATTTTTTGTGCTTCATACCACCGTTGTTAAATTTTTTGTTAATGTTTTTATTTAGAATGCTTTTAAAAATCAGATTTTAAGAAAGATACAGCTTCTGTCTCTGCCCCTAGATGTAAAAGCACCCCGTCTACGATGCTCCCCACCACATGACACAGTACCTTTAAAAAAACAACAACAACACATCTTGTTCCTTTGCTAGATTATAAGCTCTAAAAGAGAACAAGGCGGTGTCATGTGTATCTTTCTATTTCTTGTACCTAGTAAATCCTGGTACACAGTAGAGGGTCTGTAGATACTGGAGAGGAATGGGTGAATAAATGTACCTTAAGAAGAACCTAGACATCCAGTAGACGTAACATTTTCTTAAAGGCTCTTGTTATATTTTTTGAGAATTATTTTGTCCTGGCACAGCAGTGGGCATAAAGTTGGCACAGTGAATACAGGTTGGTTTGAATCTGACACTTTGTGGAAGCTGTAGGCAAGCGTGGAGTCCACCATGCAGTGCCCCCTCTGGATCCCAGAAAACAGGAAAATGAAAATAGCCTCTGAAAATTTAACTAAGAAATCAACACCTAACAGATAAAATCCAAGAGAGCAATGTGATCTTAAGAGACACAGACTCTTCGGACAGTGAGATTTGACTATAACCCAGTTGAGGGTTATAATTGACATCTTAAAAACACATACACACAGACAATCCATCAGAAGAGCATTTTCTCTGTCTCCAAAACAGAGGAAAAAAAGCCATTAATGCAATTGTCATGATGCCATGCGAGGCTCTGTCTGACCAATGCACCTGCCAGGTTGAGCTGAGCATCCCAAGCTGCCTGGAAGGTGGGTGGCCCGGTTGCAGAGAGCGGCAGAGCCCCCTGCCTCTCGCCCTGGAATCCTGCATCATTGACTCCACTTGCTCTGCCTCTGTGCGCGCCCCAAGCTTCCCTCTGGTGACGCGCCTTCCCAAGGAGGTGACTGGTGCATTTGGGCTGGTGCAGATGTTCAGTGTGCCTGATCCCTCTGTTATTCACGGTGAATAATGAAGTCCTCTCTTCTTTTCTCCCTTAATACATCATTGTCTTGTGAGTTTTGTTAGCATGAGTCTGCATTCCTAGGTCCAGTCAATGAGGTCGGGTATCAGAGCCTGCAGGGCTCATCAGGGTAAACATTACCTTGCGGGCATCTGTTGGAGCGGACTGCTGGACTTGCCAGGTGATGCCCATCTGTGTTGTCAGGCTCCATGTCTCCATTCCATTGCACACTTCACGAGAATAACTCTTCTCAGAAGTAATATGTTAACAGCATCTTAATCACGTGCACATTTTGGTTTGAGAGCACCAAATATTATCTCATTGACAGTAGATCCCTTTCCTCTGGTGAGTATTGTTTGTTTGGATTTGCAAATTTCACACCAGTGTGGGCGGATGGAAAACACACTGTAGACACCCCATTGCAAGGACCTCCACAGCCTCATCTCCAGCTCTGCCTTCTCTTCGCACCTGCCTCTCATCTCATTGTGAGCGCCGCCCCTGGCGTCCTGCCCACTCACTTCCTAACCTGGTCTCTCTTGCAGCAGGGAGACCCACGGAAGATGGAGGACGCAGTGAGTGCGGCAAGATTAAGGATAAGGAAGCAAGTAGAGCAGGCAATGAACGAGGTTTCAGAATTTTTTCTTCCATTCTCACCTTTCTCTCTCCCCTCAAAACAGTCCCAGATGCTCTTGCAAGGGTCTCAGGTCTCACACACTGCTATGAAAATAAAGGACAAGTTCTCGGTGACACGTTTGACTTCTCTGTGAATATAACGGCACTAACGCCAGAGTTCAAGAAATCATTCACAACAGTTTCTTGCCAAAGAGGATATCAGAGTAGAGAACAGGGGAAGACCCACTGCAACTCTTAAGTGAATCCTGGAATTTTTAGAAAATTAACTGTTGCATCGAATACGTAGACTCTTCTTTGGGACTTTGTCAATCAGCAGTTTCCCCCCTTGTCTTCTGTCCCTCCCCTTTCACTCCAGATTCCAGCCAGGGCAACCGACTGCTAAGTTGCACCATACATTTATCAGGAACTGACACTGAGCAGCCCCCACTTGTCACCGTGATTTAAAATAATGTATCTTATTGGCAGATTAGAACCTCCCCCAAAATTTCAGGTAGGATAGATAAATAGAAAATCTTGAACAGACTTCCCCTCCCCCAAACTTGGTTCCTAAAAAACTGTTGTTCTTAGAGAAATCACAGTTTTGTTCATTTACACAACTGGAGTTTTACAGCGAAATAAGACACCGTTGGATCATTAGTGTGCGTAGTAAGTCCGCGAGGCTTCCGTTCCTCCACGTCACTGCGGGGTGTTGGTGTTCAGTGACGTGGGCTGAACTGCTGTGCAGGCAGTTAGGGACCGTTCTTGATCATTTAGCTGCTGGCTCACCAGTCAGTGAATTCTGTGGGCCTCTTGCCCAGATCCACCACCCTTTGGCTTCCGTTTCCTTTGGAGGAGGGATGGTGCTGAAAGGAGGACGGGGCCCGGTTCTCACCCCCGTGTCTCACGGCCGCAGGCGCTCTGGGGGTGAGGTCACCCACGCCGCACCATGGCCTCTGCAGTGACGGCGGTCGGGCCGGGCGGCATGGACACGCTCCGAGTCAGGTGTTGTACCACGTCCGGAGTCGTCGTCCTGGCTCTGTGGGCTGGTGACAGCTTCCCATGATACAGAAGTTAGCATTTCCTAAGGCAAACCAGGTAGGATGCAGTATGTTTTATGCTGATAGGAGGCATTACCAGAAAGGGGAAAAAACGTATTCACTTCCCTCATTAAACGTTTGGTTCACGGGGAGAGGTTTACCCTGAGGGCTGACGGCACGAAGGCCGCCCCTGTGTGTGTCTGTGGGTCCGTCCGTGTCTGTGTGTTACGTGTACATCATGTCTGCACGTTGCTTTTGTCTGTAGCACACTTTAAAGGGTCCTTTCTAACCAGACCAACTCCCAATGACTGTATTCCTTAAACTTTTAGGATGACAGACTCTTTAGACAGTCTGAAAATTACCCTGAAAATGTGTACACACGTAAAATGCTGGGTGCAGTTTCATGACATTCTCGCACTCTCCGTCCTATGTATGCGGGTCCCCGCGGGGCTCCCCATTTCCGTCCCCGGATGGAATTCTAAAGGGACCTGCTCTGACGGTCACTGGTGAGCGTCGGACATGCACTCGTGCACCGACACGCACCGAAGGCCCACTGCGTGCCAGGTCCTGTGCCCCCAGATGAGGAGACGGATGGGACAGGCGCAGGCGATGGCGCAACAGGCCACGCGGACGCAGTGCTGCCAGGGCGGGGTGCCGCGGAGCGCACGCGGGATGAGTGCGCGGTTCAGCTTCGCAGCCTTGAGAAGTTCTCCCCAGCGGGAGGAATGCTGGGTATGGAGTCAGAGAGCGGTAGACGTGTGTGTCGTGTTGAGAAATTTGAGTTTTGCTTGAACGGGTCTTAAGTGGAGGGATGATGGAAACTGTGTGTGACTGGAGAAGTTAGCTCCGACGGGAGCACGGAGCGCGGCTGGGGTGGGGGCGGCGGCCCGGGAGGCTGGCGGTGCTTTGGTGGCAAGCCTCGTAACAGTACAGTGAGTGTAACCCAAGTACTGGCCGTCCAGATGAAGGGGAGACGGCGGGTTGAGGGGTGTGCATTGGATGGACCGAGTTACTTCTTCAGCGAGTATTCGTTGTGCTGCCGTCCGTTCGACAGGCTGTTAAGTACGGTGACAGGCTAGACGGACTGCTTTGTCCTCAAGTCTAGGGACGACAACTCGCAGGCGTCTGGAGCGGACAGCTCAGGGGTGACAGTGCCTCCCACTGGAGGGGAAGTAGATGTGTCTCAGACCCCAGGTTCCCAGGCAGGAGAAGTGCTTCTTCAGGCTACAGATACCCCTTCTGAGGTCTCGGGGTGGCCTTGTAGTTGTGAATCGCGGTGTCTATTGAGAGACGTTGCTGATGGGAGAGAGTTGCTCTATGAACAGCAGTTGGCGGGGGTGGGGTTTGAACCTCTGATACAGATGAGAGGTGGAACTGCGAAGCGGATGAGGTTGCCCAGGAGGAGCATGTAGAAGGAGAGCAGAGGAGGGCCCAGCACGAGAGGAACTGGAGGAGAGAGGCGGGGGTGTGTAAAGAGTGGAAAGCACGTTCCAAGGCGGAGCAGCGGGGAGGGTGCCAGCGCCGCGGCAGCGCTGGGCCTCAGTGTGTCCTGGAGAGGCTTGTACAGGCTCCAGGCGATGACCTGAGTTCACACATTCAGCTCCCCATGTTCCCCAGCACCTCGGCTGACAGGAGTCGTGAATCTTCACGTCACAGGGCTCGGGCGGTCAGCAAAAAACAATGAAAAGGTTCTATGCTATGTGAATTATATCTCAATAAAGCTGTTAAAGAAAATGATGATGAACATCACTCTAAAACATACCGTATGTTTACAACCAAGTTGTCATTTCAAAAATGAATAAACTACAAGCATCCACAGGTGGGGATGAGGGGGGGCCGGGTGAGGGAGAAGACGTTATGCACAAAGGGAGAATAAACTTGTATCCAGTCACTTGGTAGCACTATCTGGGAAAAGCAATGACTCGTCACCATAGATATTAGAGAGGAAAGGGTTGGTGCTCAAATTTTACAGTCGGGGGAGGCACCTTTTTTTGGCAACAAAAAGATTATCTTTGACATTGAACGACTTTCAAAATATGCCACTCTTGTGCTTGCCCTAAGGAATATACACGAAGACATCCTAGAACCGAGCAAGTAATTAGTAAGAATAAAGAACCCAAAGAACCCAGCAAGGGGAAGACATTGTACGGAGTATTTTTAAGTGGTATGGACTTAATTGTAGATAACAGATGTTAATAGAGTAGTAAGCCATATGCTAATGATAAGTGGTTCCTCAAAAAGAGTCGTGTCACAGCCCGATAATAATGGGGGTCTGGGATCATTCAGTGTTCCCTCAGTCCCACAGGAGGAAGGTGGAGGAGTGCAGGGAGGCTCCCAGGTGCTGCATTATGGTTGGCACCAAGATAAACTTCAGAGTTAAGCTTTGCTCATGTGGAAGTTGGGTGACTGACTTTCCAGTCAGTTGGCCAAGAGCTGGCGGGGGCACTTGAGTGCATGAAGAGCAGAGTATTGTACAGTAAAATTAAACCTGAGGATGTTCATTGCCATACAGTGACTACCCTATTCTATTAAAAGACAAGTATTCAAATCGATTTTTTTTTAAATCAGCCATAATATGACACAGAGGCACACCTAAAAAAAAAAAAAGGAGGTATAAAGCTATAGTTATAGAGGGAATTCTTAAAATTATATATTTCAAAAAAACTAGTATTTTAACTCTATGACAATAAGGACAATCTGTAAAATGAATAACCAGAAGTAAATTTTTAAAAATAACCAGAATTGACTCAAAGTGACTAACACAATGAATGACATTGACAAAAAGAGAATTAAAAGGAAGATTTCTTCCTCCCCAAAAGTGCCAATTCTAGACATACTCATTGTTAAATGTTGTGAAATCTTAAAGAAACAGATACTTCCTGTGTTTTCTAATCTATTTCAAATCATGAAAAAATATGGAAAATCTCCCAATTTATTTTATGAAGTTAGTATGACTATGACCAAATTCTGTTTTTTCTTTTTCTTAAAAGTTAACACTTTTACTTAAAACTACATATATGAAATCCTAAGCCAAATACTAACAGGGAACCGTAAATATGGTCAGTTCTGATTTGTGTCAATAAAGTGGCATTTATTTGCTGTTAGAAAACCAATAATACAATAATCACGCTGAGAGCTTGGAAGAGGAAAGCTTTTTCAGCAATTTATTCCTGTGACCCAACCCTCACTCTGTTGATCCAGCAGTGAACCAAAGCAACCAGAGTCCCTTTCTTGGTGAAACTTAAGTTGCACTGTGAAAACAATAAGAAATAGACAGCTAGTGTAAACGCACAGGTAAGATTTTGTTGTATGATAGATTTTCAGATCAGTGGGGGGAAGTTGGCTATTTGAGAAATTTTTGGAGCCATTGGCTAATGTTTTAATGATACTTAAACCCAAAATTTGTACTTTAAAATGCATCCCAGATGTATTAAAGATTTTATTTTTAAAAATTAAAACTGAGTGTGAGAAGCTATAATCAGGGAATATTTATATTAACTCATGTTCTGTTAGACGTTTTCACGCATTTCAGAAGGAGAAGTTCTTGGAAAGATTTATGAGCTGAAGGATAATGTTGCTCTGTTTCCGAGATAAGGACAAAAGCAAGTGCTTCAAACTTGCAGACAGTCAGCAAAGCATAACATGTTTGGAAGATGTGTTAGAAGGTTACAAAGAACTGAAACTTCAAAGGGTAAAACCCAGCATCGTTACCTGATACAGTTTTAGCAGCCGAAGTCCAGCTGTACTAATAAGACTCATGAACCTTTTCCAAGTGGTTCCTGAAACGTAGATAATTGTTCCAGTGCTTTTTACACGCCTTGCCTCATGTAAACAGTGCCTAAAGCAGCCATCTGCAGTGGGTGCAGATAGTATTTTACATATTTCCCTGGTAGAGACAGGAAGAACAGAAAGGTCTCAGTAGCTTGCCTGAGGGCACCTATCAGCAGAGCCAAGGTTCACACCCAGTCTGGTGCCCAGGTCCGCTCTCCTAACCATCCTGCTGTACCTACCTAACACGGCTCCTGATTTCCCGACTTGTCCTGAAGTTCTCAAAAACAAGCTCCTGAAGACGAATTCAGGGAGGGGAACTTTTTAACTTCATTTGCCTGAAGAATGAATTTGGATGATAGCATCTCAGCTCACAGCTGCAGAATCCATTTGGAGTTTGGGAGGGATCCTTTTCTCACCTACGGCCAGCCTTTGCCAGGGGATCTTCCTGGGGAGCGTTTGGAACTCTGGCTTCCTTCAGTTGCCAAAATAACCTCCAGAAAGTCACTTTGAAGTATTTTTGAGCAAAAATATTTTTCTGTTTACTCCAAAACAAATGAGAGGCCTTGACTGCCACTCCTGTCATGAGCCCACATGTGCGAGGCCGGTTCTTCCCCGTTGTGACTGTGGAGGCGGAGCCGGGTGGCCAGCGTGGCCCCCGCCGAGTCCTCCGTCCCCCATCCCCCACCATGCAGGCGAGAGGGCAGGGCATCCACCGAGCAAGAACACTGTGTGGTGTTGATCAGGGTTTTGTTTGTTTTTTTTAAGATTTTTAAAAATTTATTTTTAGAGAGAGGGGAAGGGAAGGAGAAAGAGGGAGAGAAACATCAGTGTGTGGTTGCCTCTCGCACGCCCGGACAGGGGGCCTGGGCTGCAACCCAGACATGTGCCCTGACTGGGAATCAAACCCGAGACCCTTTGATTCGCAGGCCTGCACTCAATCCACTGAGCTACACCAGCCAGGGCCAGGGTTTTTAAGCAAAAAAAAAAAAAAGTTCCCAAATCTGCCATTATTTTGATATTTTAACTTCACAATATTTTTTTAAAATTTAAAACATTGAAGGCAGGCTTGACTTTTCTTAAGTTTATTTAAGGTGATAGGGACTTTTAAAAACATTCTGAATGTCACAGGTTCGATTCCCAGTCAGGGTACATGCCTGGGTTGCAGGCCACAGCCCCCAGCAACCGCACATTGATGTTTCTCTCTCTCCCCCTCCCTTCCCTCTCTAAAAGTAAATAAATATAATCTTTAAAAAACACATTTAGTTTAAAAGAAAAATTCTGAAACGCTATATTCAATGTTTGCTTATTGGTGTGGAAAGGTAAAGATGCCCACATTGTGAGCACCATTTTGATCTTCACCCGAGGAGGTGTTCGTTGATTTTTAGAGAGAAGGGAAGGGAATAGGAGGGAGTGGGGGGGGGGGAGAGAAACATCGATCAGTTGCCTGCTGTGCACGCCCTAACCCGGTACTAAACCCACGAGCTCTTGGTGTACAGAACGGTGCTCCATCTGACTGAACCACCCAGCCAGGGCAAAGTGGAGGCTTTTTAAGCAACGTTAAATGAATTGCCCAATTTCTGACAGGGGCTAAGTGTCAGAGCTGAGATTTGAACTTGGACCTGTGGTCCAAAGACTCATTTCCCCATAGTACTCTATACTATATTACCACCGTAAGACACAGATCCCAGAAGGGGAAGCAGGCTTGGAGTTAGGACCGTGAGTCTGGCTTTTTAACATAATGAGTGTAAGAGATTTATACAGTATCAATTTAGAGGTAAACCATTGGAAGTACGGTCTCAAGTCTGGGGAAAGAGCTAAAAACATCCTTGGGACTGCCATCAGGAGGTGCTCGTAGCTTTAGAAATAGATGAGATTGTTGGGGAGCAGGGGTCCTCAAGTTCTGGAGCAAAGCTGGGCCATTCACAGCATGTCACCTGCCAGCTAGGCTCCTTGGGTGAATCTCTTTACACCCCTTAAGCCTAGCTTTTCTTACCTGTAAAATGAGGATTAATTGAAATCATGGTACCACAGAAAGTACTTAACATTGTGCCTGGCCAACGGTAAACTCTCAGCTATTACGGTTTTCTATATTGCTTTCTCAGACTAGAGAGGAAGAATTGTCCTTCTCCCACGCTGTGTCTAAGAACAGCTAGGTGAGACACCAGAAATAGGGAGATACGGAGGGAGCTTATCTGTGCTCCCTGAGTTCCTCGTTGCGTTGTCTCGAAGAATGGCGAGTCATGTTATCTGATAGAGAATTGGAACTAGCAGGTGTACACAGATTCTGCTGGGGTTTTTTTGTGTGTGTGCCCGGCCCAAAGGCTTGCTTGTAGTAGATACATAACGAAGTACTGATTGATAACGACGAACCCCAAGGGGCAGGCTTTTTGGGGCACCACATGAAAAAGATACAGCAGATGGGTGTCTGGGGAATTCCTGCAATGTCTCAGTTGGATCACATGAGGGTTTTTGTTTTTTAACTTTTCATTTTATCTCTGATATCAGTTCCAGGGGATTTTTTCACCTCTCAGGTGTTGTGCTGGGTGAGAAGTAGTAACTGCATGAGCACTGGGCAGGGAGTGCCGATGATGTTGCACACATACCTCTTAGTTTTTCTCGTGAAGCCAGCATCTCATGACGGTTATTATGAAACTGCCAAATTAGTGTTGAGCCTTCCCTCCAGAGAGCTTCTGAGGAAGTCATGTAGGCCATCTGATTTACAAGGGAATTACATTTAGGAAACTACATTTTCTAAATGTTATGCCACACAGAAGGAATTCTGAGAAAAAGGTTCATTCTCTTGGGGAAACTGATTTTATTTTTTTGGTAAAAGGCTACCGTGTGTTCAGTTAATTGTCAGTTTTCACAGATTTTTTTATTTTTATTTTTTGTAGTCAGGGTCATAATTTCTCCTATAAGATTATCTAGTGTTTCGGAAGCTCCTCAGAAAACCTAAGGAGAGATGGAATATTTTCAGGTTCAAAGTATGTGTTTCTGAAGCTATAATTAGGTATCTCTCTGCGAATTAGCAAACTAATTCTTTTTTTTTTTAATTTAGTAAAAATTCACCTTTTAGAATTAGGCTTTTACTCGACCCTAACTGATGTCCAGTTACTTCATTTTCTTCGGCTTTAATCATCACCTCGAACGAGTCAAACTCGGCTGCCTCTGCTGTTCCCAGCTGGGCCTCAGCCGTGTTTAAAGATGCCTGCTAACGAAGGCCTTGTGCATGCTTCCCCGTCCCTCTGAATGGCCGGTGCGTGTCACTGCGCAGCGTGTGAGTCATCAGCCTGCCACAGGATGTTTTCCCGGGGCGTGCAGTGCAGCCTCAGATCACCCCATCGCCGCGATGGCCGCACGTGGGGCCCCGTCTGCAGAAGTGAATAGCGTCCCCCTTTACAAGCGGGAAAATGAACAGTGCCCATCATTCAGGTCCCAGGGTTTAGTTAGCTCCGACTCGCTAAAAGAGGCTGAGCAAGTAAATAGTATAACTTGCCACATAGAGCAGGTTCTGACTCATCGCTGTTTCTGTGTAACCGACCCACATAGGTTCCTTGCTGTATTCTGTTATCTATACACCTCAGCACTTTTGTCTGCTTGCTTTACGGGTTAACTTTTTGTGAAATTAGGCTTAGAAGTTGATTATCTCATAAATCCCTCCCCTGTCTAAAATGCTGTAAGACATTAAGCTTCATTTTCTCAGGGCCTCCATCCCCTCGCCAGTTGATGTGGCTGAGGTGCCTGGAACCTTCCAGGCGTCAGTGACTGACTGCCGCTGCGGCATCTGCGTGGGCAGCTGGCGCGGCAGCCGATCCGTTCGTTCAGCAGACAGACGCCATGTTCACGGGTCCAGCAGGAGCTCTGCAGTCGGTAGAGAAGTGTGGTGGCTTCACAGCAATGGCCCCCCAAGTTCTTCGACACTCCTCCCATGCCACGGTGGGGCTCCACCCCCTCCCCTTGAGTCTGGGCTCTGTGCCTACCTGGCAGGAGACTGTGGCCGACTTCTATTCCGTTTCTGCGTCCAGACCTTAAGACGCAGTCTTAATGAGCAGTGTCCACTCCCTGTGTCTTGGGGACCCTGGCTCCTAGAACCTGGCCCCCGTGCTGTGAAGGAGCCTGCACCGCCCCTTGGAAAGAGCCAGGAGGCGGGCGTCCACTCGGTAGCTCGGTGACCGGGCCGCGCGGGAGAAGACTCCCCAGCTCCAGGAGACCTGCCCCAGCCGACACGCCGTTCTCACCGAGCCCTGCCCAGATTGCAGGTTCATGAGCACATGAATGACTGTTGCGCTTAGCCGCCCAGTTTTGTTGCCAAAACAAGAAGGCAGACACATAAACAAGCAATTCTGAAGCAGTGTAGAATTATGATGACAGTGATCTGTAGTGGGTATCACAGCAACACTGAGGAGAGACACCTAATCCTCAGTGTCAAGGAAGACTTCCTCAAGGAGATGACAAGTGGGCTGAGTCTCGAGTGAGTAAGGGTTAGCCAGGTGCGGGCAGGGGCGGGCGGCAGGGTGTCCTGGGCAGAAGGGACAGTAGTGTGGTCAGAACTGAGGCAGCGTGGAAAATATTGTTCCAGTGTACAGACGAGGAAGTGTGAGTCCCCGAGTCTTTTCAGTTTTGCCACACTATGGTTTCGGAGCTGAAACTGGATCGGGCTCATCTAACCCAGCCTCCCCTTTTATAAATGAAGCAGCTGAGTCAGCAGCAAGGTGAAGCAGAAGAACGCAGGTGTCCCGGGTTGGGGGTCTGGGAACCCACTCTGAGCAACACCTGCGGGAGGAGAGGGGAGACGCAGGAGCCAGGCCTCTGCACCCATCGACCAGCCGCTGGGTGCTGTTACCCTGGATGCTGTTATCCTTGGGCCAGGAGACTCTTTACCTAACACAGTACCCAGAGAGGGCTGAGAGCAGAGAATGTTCTGCCATGGGCACTCCCGGCCACCTCATTCCTGAGGACAGCCTGAGAGGCACCTGTGCACGTGACTTCAAATTCTAGCTCTGCCACTGCCCAGTCATTCAGCGAGCTGGTTACATCAGGGAGACCCTGCATACGGCTTCTTTAACCTTCAGGGTCCTCCACTAGGAAAGGAGAGAAAATGGGAAACCAAGTCCTGGTGTCCTTACTTGTGAAATAGGAAGAACAATTGTACTACCCTTTTGAGGAGGTCATTAAGAGGATCTGGTGAGATCATCAAGTTCCCAAAGTACCTACTTTTAAAAGGCTGTTGTTATTATACTATATGTCAAGAGCCTCATTCAGTGCCAGATACATAATATTTGCCACGAAAATTCCTCGATAAATACTTCATTAAAAAATGTTTCAGAAATGTTCAGTGACTTTCTAGAGGCCAGAGTCAGTGTGGAAGCCAGAGCTGGAACGCATCTGCTTACACTGCTCCTGGGTTTGAGTTTCAGATCAAGGAATACGGGAGGAGATGTCTCTCCGGTGAGTCAGAGTGTGGTGTGAGGGAGTGGGTCCCTGGCTGTGACTTGACCCCGGCGAGTCCGCTTCCTTAGGCTGAGTCGCTGGTGTTAGCCAACGTGAAAATGTGTTTTTCAGCATAGAACCGAGAAGATAAAACTGAGGGTGAAGTCATCTGAGTAGCAGCACTGCACGAAAACAGCCCCGTTGCGAAAGGATGGTTACAGTTTGGGACAGGTTACTTTGATTCATTAGGGATGTATATATACATACATGTACGCACACACAGGGGTACAAGGGTGGGCAAAAGTAGGTTTACAGTGGGAGTACCCAAAACAGAGTTTATTCTTGTATTATTATTTATTAATTATTGTATTATATTCCAAACAAACAACTGTAAACCTACTGTGCCCACCCTATATATACATATACATAAACATATACAAGTATAAACAATGACTGAACTTCTTCCGGACAGACCTTCGTACGTACATACATATATGACTGTACTGTAGTGCATCTTGACCTCTGATAGTTTCCCCCAGAAGATCGATGTTCTAGTCATCGGCCCCCTCATTTAGGGGATGCTGAACCAGGGATAACTTACTCTCTCTGGGCTTGAGTGTCCCCTCTAACGTGAGGAATTGATCCAGGTGAGTGTCTTCAAGTTCTGTCGTGGCTTAATTCTTTAACTCCCCGTGTACCCTACAGCACAGACTTAAGACAAAACAGGCCTGTTGTATCCTACAGATAAATGGTCTCATTCTGCATGTGCAGAGGAGCACGGTGTGTGGAACCAGGCCCGCAGAGGAAGGTGTTCAAGTAGCTCTTGCTAAAAAACCGTGCTAACTCCCAGTGAAGATGGAGAGAAAGATCCCTGTTTTGTGGGTCGACCAGAGTGCTCCATAGGCATCGCAGAATCATGCCCTTCCCTGCAGCTTTTTTGTGGAATCATCCAAATTGGTGGTTTAACGTTGATTGCCAGTCACTAGCGCGTTGGAGACTGTGCAAGGCAAGAGTGTGCGAGCTGCACCCCACTTTGTTCATCAAGGCAGAGGGTGGGGAGGCGGTCAGGGTCACAGGGCTGGGTGCGAAGCTTCTTGCCTTCTATCCGGCAGCACCGAGGCTGTCAGATGTGGTCTTAATCCAGTGTCGGGAAGGCTTCACTGTTTATAGAAGCATCTTTTTTCTTTCCTTTTTTTTTTTTTTCCATTTTTTCAGTTTGGCTTCACTGCTGTTACCTTACGCATGTAATTGGGTTTGTGACTTGAGTAGCTTTTAAAATTTTGGCAATTAATCTCATTGGAGATTCATCACGCTTAAGGCATTTTAATATAACTTTTATTAATATCTTGAAATCTGGGAATTTAATCAGTGTACTTACACTTTTAAATTTGTTCTTGCCTGAACCATTTTACATTTTCACAGAACAAGTATTTAATCCAGGGGTGTCCAGCCTGCAGCCCTCTGCGACCCAGGTGGCTGTGACTGCGTCCCAGGTGGCTATGACTGCGGCCCAGCACAAAATCATAAAGTTACTTAAAGCATTATGAGATTTTTTTGTGTGTGATTACGTGTCACAGTGTACTAAGCGTGTGGGGCAGAGACGCCAGAAGGTTGGATACCCCTGATCCTTATGATTCTGTAACCAAGGGATTTAAAGATTAACTTTGAAAATAGGTCAGGGAAAAACATCTACTTTGTTTTACAGCTAATCAGGCAAGGAAGTAAAAGAAAGAAAAGAAAAGAAAAGAAAAGAAAAGAAAAGAAAAGAAAAGAAAAGAAAAAGCAGTTGAGAAGCTTTTGAAATGCATTTGTGAAGTCAGTTTTATGTAATTTTCTGAAAGCTGCTCTCTGAAGCTGAAGTATGAGTCAAAGTTTCCTTTCGTTTTGCCCTCTTTCATTCATCTATTCATTATTATTCATCCATTCATTGTTCATCCCTCCATTCACCAAATGTTGCTCCAGACACTGGGGTAACAGAGATAAATAAGACAGCGAGAGCTTACTGCGCCCATCGTCTGCCAGGAAAAACTGGGGAGGCCTCAGCTCCTAGCCGCAGCCTGGTGTCACGGCTGAGCTTTGACACGGGGCGGGGGCAGGGGCGTGGGTTGCTTCCCTGCACTCACTAGTAAGCAGCATGACTGGAGGTGAGACCCATTCTGTGTCCATTTCCTCATCTCTGAAATGGTATTGCTCACCCCATTTACTTCACGGTGTTGGTGGAAAAATCAAACGAAATCGTGATTTTGAAATCACTATCATACAAAAACAAGTAGTAATCTTGTGACTGGTATTCTACAGAGACGAGTAGTCATCTTGTGACTGGCAAGTGGCTCCGGCTGTTCCATCGCCTCTGTGCGAAGGGTTGAGGATGAGCACGTGTCTGTTGCTCTTTTGAACCAGATCCGTGTGTTTGGAACGGTCGCCTGACCCCTTCGTCCACATACACAACTGCCCTTCTTCCTGCCCCCGGGGCAGGAGCTTCGTAGTGAGGTAGCAGGGAGAGTGATATCTGCAGCTGGTAGCACTTGTTTGCAAACTATTATTCAGTCCGCATCGGCATTAAACCCACAAGCGTTAGTGCCCAGAGGAAGTGGGAGGACAGAGGGGTAAGGGCTGAGAGGGTGTCCGTCTGCAAGAAGCCCAGGCTTCAGCTGGAATATTCCAGGTGGCCAAATAGAAGTCATTATCGTAATTGCAGTTTCCAGAGGGTCTGTCCGGAGGTGTCCATTTGACTCTAGAACGTTTCTAGACATTGGAACGTCAGCCGTTGTCTTAGACATTGGAGTGTCCATTTATCCCTCCTGGATAGACCAGATCGTTCTGTGAAGAAACTAATAGAAAATTGCTTCTTGCTTCTGCTAGGTTTCAGCCTGCCATGTTGGTGCTCTAGAATGAGGCAAGAGGTCTGATTTCTCCTAGAGCAAACCCAGTCCTGGACCCACTAAACAATCCCTCTGGAGTAGCAGCTCTAGGGTGCAGGGATTTTTGTGTTTTAGTCACTGCTATCTATCTCCCCAGCGCCTAGAACAGTGCCTAAGAACCAATGCTCACCGAAAGTGTTTTGAATGAATGAAAGTCTCAGTCTACCAGAGAGAGTCTTCTGATACTTTCATACCCCCAGATAGATGGCTTCTTGAAAACAGTGACTATGCTTTACTGGTGTCCAGATTGCCAGTATCTGGCACGTGATTGGTGTTCTGGGTGTTGGTCAGATGCACCCGTGGACAAGCACAGCCAGGCCTGGGATGGATGCCCCGAGGCCAGGACCTCCCGACCTGTCCCCAGAGTAAGTTCTAAGAGCAAGAGAAGGACTTCTTCCCGTGAAAGCTGAGCTGTGGCCTAGGGTGGCCTGCTGCAAACGTGCAGGTCCACTGAGGTTTCCTTTTTAATCTTACCTTTTCTGTGTATCTTAGATTTTCTACTCCATGCATGTTTCTTTCAAAGAAATAACATTCAGCACAATGGATAAAATTGATATTCCAAGAAGAAACCTTGTATATATCCTCTGCTGAGTCCCACCCAAGGCTGTCGTACCCCGTGGCCCTTGTCCTTGCAGCACGGCCCAGGGCAGGGCAGCCAGTCTCGAAGCTGCCTCAGAATCTTGTAAGAGACCAAAAGGCCCGGGAGACCTGGCACCGGACAGGAGAGAGAAGGTGGGCAGCTGGCTTGACTTCCTTTCTGGGGGTTTTGTTGGACCGCCTTCCAGCCTCACTGACGCTTCCTACCCTTCCTAAAATAACGATACTACTAAAACATTCCTTACCCCTTTTCAGTACCTTCACGCGTGCA